AGCTGAGTTGCTATGGCACTTATATTGGTATCTGCCACAACCTGGGGGCGGGGGATGACAAGACATTTTACTATAAGCTGCAAGAGTTCTAGAGAATCCGTGGTTGCAGTCAATCCTCATTCAGCTTACATACAGCACTGGACAGGACGGATTACTCATTTTCTCTCTTTTTCCCTTACCCCCCTTTCTCTTTCTCCTCTCCTCCCCCATGCTTCTCCCTTTCTTCTCCCCCACTTCCTAAGACAGGAAGCTGAATTCGTAATCTTCCTGCTGCAGCCTCCCCAGTGCATGGGGGTGCTGGGCTGGAAGGTCTGATTCTCCCTCATAAACTGTTTCCTTCACGTGACTCCCTGTGATGGCTGCCTCCCAGGCCCTTCTTTATTCTTTTGAGGAACTGGGGGCTGAACTCGGAGCCTCCTGGCGAGCACGCGATCACTCACCTGTGCCCCCAGTTGCTCCTTTTAAAACTTCAACAGAACAGAATAGGCAGGGTCTTCGTGAGCCGCATAGGCTGTCTGGGGGCTGGTCCTTCCTCAGCCTCCCAAGAGCTGCTGGGATCACAGGCTGTGGCCACTGGGCCCAGCGCCAGCTAGTACACTCTTCCACCTGTCTGACTTTGCCTTCCTCTCTTGCAGACCCCTGTGCAGCGTGACAGGACCAGTTCCTGGGTTCCTGGTCTTTTTCGTCTACAGCGTCGCATGCTGAGTTTAAGTACCACCTAGTGATGATAATCTCCAACTCTATCTCCAGCCCTCCCACACTTAGGTCCAAATCCACATGATGTGGGCCCACTGCGCTCCCCAGGGTGGCGTCTATCAGGAACCCATAGCTAACATGTCCCCAGCCCTCTGCCCACAGCCTGTGCCCCTGTACCCTTCTGCATCCCAGATGACCACGACCTGTTCTCGACGTTTCACAAACACTTTGGCACCATACTTGACTTCTGTCTCAAAGCCCACAGTCCCCTTAGATGCTACAGGCTGACCCACGAAGTCATCTTGTGTGTGGTTCGGGTGGAGCTGTTTCACTGGCTGCCCGTTTCACGGCAGCAGCCAGAACCACGTTAACATGGATCACATTACTCCAGACTCTGCCGGGAGCCATCTGTGGAGAACCAGATGTTGTGGGGCCACAAGCTGAAGTCCTGCCTATAACCTTCAAGGTGTCCTGCCCTGAGGCAGCTCTCCTAACATTCCCCGGTACCACACTGACCTCACTGCTCCTCCTGCTGCTCCCCACCCCCACCCCACTAGAACCCGGGGATCTGGAGGGCTGACTGTAATACTGCACAGATGCTGAGGAGAGTTTTCGGGCAGGTGCGGGAGGGAACTTGACTTGACGCAGTTTCAGGACAGACCAACAGAGGGCACACGTGCCTCAGTTGTGAAGCAGCTGCCCTGCCAGGAAAGCGGAGGAAAGGCAAAAGGCCAGAGGAGGGGTCAGCACACATTTGGGAATCGTCGCAGACAGGGGAAAACAGTTACAGGCAAGTGCTGAGTGTTCTCGAAACACAGTCATAGGACAACGGTGACTGAGTGGGGAGACGTTCAGGACAAAGGTCTGAGGAGGAAAGGTCAGTCCCTGCCAGACCGTGCAAGCCTCTCTTCTTGCAGAGCCTGGGAGGACACGCCTCTCTGAAGCCCAGTCTTCACAAACATCCATTCTAGCTTACACCCCAGCGGCCAGCCTGAGCCTCCCTGACCCACATTCCCCTGACCTGCCTGCTGTTGCTAGGGTCTGCTCTCTGCTCTCTTTTGGCTGACCTCCTGACTCAAGTCATGGCCCAGGCGGCTGCAGGCTCAAACCCCAGCACATACATTCCCTGGCTTTAAATCCCAACGGTGTGCTTACACCCCAGCTGCTGGGCTCTGCCCGGATCCTCAGCTTGAGATTTTCATCTGACGTCTCTCAGCTTCTCAAAATGAAGACAACAACTCCAAATTTGGACCGGGGATGTAGATCAGTGGGTAGAGCACATGCTGAACTCCACTTGAGCATGTGATGCAGCCCCATCCTACTTCCTCTCCAAACTCCTGACCTCCAAACACACCCTTGTTCAGTTAGCTTTTCCTTTCATTTGTTGCTTCTTAGCAGTGACACCTCCAGCTCCCCCATCATGAACCAACAAGGCACACTACCGAAAACTGGCTGGTGCCTGTCTATCGGAGACACACGCTGAGGTGCTATCCACACCCGGGCTCAGTCTGTCTACCTTGGTACTTCCTGCTCCCGAATGAGTGGTAACCCTCCAGAATTCCAAACCCTTCTTCCATCTGTTCCCTTGTCCTTTGTCATCTTCCAGTCTTTTACTCTCCCCGGGCATCTTCCCAGATACACAACGGTGCTCCACCACTTCCAACCTTTCAGCTCTTCCCCTCTGTTCTTGGGATACAAATCTAAGCACATGTAGGAACCCCCACCCTCACCCCCGCTTCTAATCCCATTTCTCTCTTCCCATTCCCCTAAATCTCCTCGAGTTTTCTCTCTGGGGATCTCTACACACATCAGTCTAACTAGCAGTCCTGATCCTCACGTGACCTTCTCTAGTGCCCCTGCTTAGGTTAATTCTTCCTGCTTTCTTCTGTGTTTTCAACCTGTTTCTTGGGAATTGTGAGGGTGTGTGTTTGTGTGGCTGTGGGGTGCTTCCCATCTCATCTCAGACTCCACGACAGCACAAACTCCCCCTGAGGAAGAACCTGGGAGAGGATGAGCAGGTCTGAAGCCTTCTCAAGGGGCAGGGAGACGGAGGAGGTTATGTGGAGACAGGTTTCTGGTCCCTTAAGGAGAGAGGAAATGTAACGACTTGTTAGAGTGGCAGACGCCACGCCACAGAAATGGAGTAATAACAGAGGGCTTAACGTAGACCCAGGGACTAATCCAGCTAACAACATTTTGAATTTTGCTTTTTTCTCAAATGACATTTTTAATTTTAGGAGCATTGGAGTTTTGCCTGCATGTGTGTCTGTGTGAGGGCGTTGGATCCCCTGGAACTGGAGTCACAGACAGTTGTGAGCTGCCATGTGGGTGCTGGGAATTGAACCCTGGTCCTTCTGAAGAGCAGCCAGTGCTACTACGACTACTGAGCCTTCTCTTCAGCGCCCAGTTTTTCTCCTTGTGTTTGTTTAGTTTGTGTGTGTGTTAGGGGCAGGAGGAGCCTGTCTGTGCCACTGAACGTGTGTGGAGGTCTGAGGACAGCCTGTGCGAGTCAGTTCTCTCCTTTCCCCTGTGGCTTCCCAGGTTTGAACTCAGGTTGTCAGGCTTGGAAGCAAGTGCCTTTACCTGCTCAGCCCTCCCACCAGCCCTCCGGTATGTTTAGGACTCCAACTTGTTTCTTTTCCTTTCTTGTGAGTTCTCCTGAGTCTTTGTGACTTCCTCTGGACTTCAGCAACTGTAACAGACTGACTGTCGGCACCAATGCGGCCCAAGATAAGGATCAACCAGAGGCGGCCAGCCCAAGACACCCTGGAATCCTACCGCAGGAGCTCCACGGCTCCCCTTTGGGTCTCCTCTGTGTGTCCAGGACTGCCGTAGGCAGCTGAGCTTAGGTTCTTAGATCACTGCTGTTCCTGGTGTGGTCACCCTGCCTGTTTAATAAAGCTCCTGTCCCGGCCTCACCACGCTCCTTCCTGGCCTCCCCACGCTCCTGTCCCGTCCTCCCCATGCTCCTTCCCATCCTTCCCATGTTCCTTCCCGTCCTCCCCACGCTCCTTCCCGTCCTTCCCACGCTCCTGTCCTGTCCTCCCCACGCTCCTGTCCTGTCCTCCCCACGCTCCTGTCCTGTCCTCCCCATGCTCTTTCCTGTCCTCGCCATGCTCTTTGGTTTCTGTTTTGGTAGGGAGAGGAGGTGATAGAGGGTCTCCTATGTAGTCTAGGCATGCCTGGCACTCGTGATCCTCCTGCCTCAGTCTCCTGAGTGCTGGAGTATAGGGTAGTTGTGAGCCACTAGGCTCAGGCTTTGTGGGAAAAGAAGCTGAGCCTAGTCTATCTGGTCTCCTAACACTGTGGAACAGAAAGGCCCAGTGAGAACACGGGGATCTCATGAGAACCCGCATTTAAAAAGAGTCTCAGACTGGTCACCGCAGGGTATCAGATGGGGCTGTCATGTCCCTATGTGGTGGAGCCAGGCCAGGAAGCCATAAGAATATTGCCTATTTTTCTCCCTTGCTTTCTTATTTTCTGTTTTGAAATAGGGTCATACTATGTAGCCCTGGCTAGCCTAGAATTCACTATATGGACTTGGATGGCCTTGAATCCAGAGACCAACCTGCCTTTGCCTCCCACGTGCTGATATTACAGGCATGCACCACCACATTCAGCCCCCACCCCACCCCCTTTTTTTTTGAGACTATGCAGCTCACTTTGTAGCCTAGGCTAACCTCAAATTCATGAGTCCTGCCTCAGCTTCTTGAGTGCTGGAATTTCAGGCAGGAGCCACCACTATGTCTGGGGAGAATCTAGTACTCTTTAACCAGAGTTTGGGAAGCAGTCACCTGTGGTGAGGGAAACAAGAGCTGTAGCCCTTACTTCCCAGACACAGCTGAGTCCCAGTTACAGTTCAGTTACACTCATCCTAAAGTTTTACCATCTAGCAGGAAAATGTAAAAATCCTGCAGTTTCCTCCCCACAACTAGCTCTAAAATTAAAAGGCTTCTTAGCCACCAGTAAATCCTAGGGAGTCACCCGGAACCCTCCTGCCAATCTTGGCGGAGTGGAACCCTCAGGCCAAGTGGTGAATATGAAGGACAGCATGGTCTCTTGTGGGGAGACCAGGACAGCAGGTCTGTCACCTGCAGGAAGACTTTTCGGCCCTAAGACATTTGTAGCCAGCACATTTGCCTTGAGAACTGATTGACAAGTAACTCGGTAGGCAGTGGCTAAACCTTCCCTGGGGCTTGGCCTGGGAATGGGGAGGAGCTACTCTCCACGGGGTAGGTCAGTGGTGTACAAGTTCAACACTGAGGTGCGACCTAGGTGTCCTGCTCAGTCTTGCCTCTGAACACCAGGGACTGGGGACTGTGGTCTGAGGTAAGCATGGGGTCCTTTGGGGAGGCAGGGGAAGGCAAGAGGCTGACAGGAAATGTACTTTATTTTTCCTTATCAAGTGAATCTTGGACTTGTTTTCAGCTTCACTGGGTTCTGAGAAGAGCGACCGGACTGGGGAAAACACCCGTAAGAAGTGGTCCTGCCCTCAGGGAGGCATGTGGTAAGTGTCCTGTGAGGGGCGGCAGGATACAGTGATGGTCACCGTGGGGAGGGGATGACACGGGCCTTAGAGGCCCCTAAGGAGACCGGGGTATCATGGTCTCTGCACATTCGGGTGTTCCAGCCTCTGGTTCCCTGGCCTGGCTAGGCAGAAATGAAGACGGTCTAAAGAGACACCCGTGTCTCTCCATCTATCACGCCACTGAAATGATGGACTCTAACAAAATGGGCATTTCCCCAGGAATCTTATGCTGGGAGAAGGAAAGGGTGCCAGCTAGAGGGAGAACTTGCCTTCAGGAAAGAGACGCCACACAGTTCTAATACCTTAGAGGATGAGACAGAAGTCTAGACCATGAAGGTCAGGGGTGGGGGAGTGGCACTGGCCAGGGCTGCTTAGATGTGGATGTCCTTGGTCCTCTCTTTACTTACTTCAGGACCCAAAGACGACTGTGTGTGTGGTCACTGGACCTCTCTGTCACCCTTCCCAGTGTGGTCACATTGAACAAATCTCCCGTTCCTGCTTCCCACTATGGATATGACTCTTTTAATTGGCTTGTTGAGGATGGCTTGGAGCACAGGCTGTGACGGCTGGGTTTGGGAACAATCCCACCCCAGGGTCTGTGGTCTGGCCTTTTGCCTCATATGGACTGGCACCCTTTCCCCTCTTTCCCCAGAGGAAAAGGACAGTTGGGAAACATGGCTGATGTCATCCTGCTCAACCACAGCCCTTCAAAGCATTAACCTCGTCAAAAACAGGTATGCCTTTACATCTGCGTCTCTTGTTCGGAACAGTGTGCTGTAGTGCTCAGGTGGTCAGAGTGGGAGACTAAAGGCAGAATTCTTGGCCGACAGGGGTGAACTATTATATTTAGCAGAGCTACCTTACTCAGCAAGTGCATTTTTCACTGGACATTTAATGGAAGTATTTTGTACCCCCGTCCAGGTGTAGTTATTATTAAACACTTAGTAATTACAGGCCTGAGGCAGAGCAGCCCAGGGGCCTGAAGGAAGACTTCCAACTTCTCCAAGGAGGTAGAGGCCAAGAAGAGAAGTATGTGACCTGCCCACCCCGAACTCCCAACAGGAAGGAAGAGGTGGGGAGACCTGTCCTTCCAAGGAAGAGGAGACCCACCCAGGGAAGGCAAGGAGAAGAGGAGCAGCCATGGAAGCCGAGAAGACCCACCTGCTGAAGGAACTGGGAACACAGACCTGCCCACCCACAGAGACCTGGGAGGCTACCAACAGGAAGGGAGAGGAGGGGAACATGCAACCATCTCAAGAAGGCAAGCTGGGGGACAGGGAGGCTAGGGAAGATGCCCGGTCCCCCAGACCCGAAGAACAGTCGGCGCCGCTAGCCACGTGGTTGGAAGACGAGCCAATAACCATGTTCCCCCCTCCCACTGCTCTTACCCGTCCGTGTGTGTTCCCCCCTCCCACGGCACTCACACCTCACTCTGTCTTTCCCCCTCCCACAGCTCTTTCTGGTCAGTCTGTGTTCCCCCCTCCCACAGCACTCACATCCCACTCCGTCTTTCCCCCTCCAAATGCCTTGCTCCTTCACTGTGGTTCCCTGTCCAATGGCGTTTCTCTTTCATCTTGCAATTCCTCCAGTTTCTTTATCGGCATTCACCTCTCCAGCCCTTCTCCTTGAGAGAGGGTTATTTCATCAGTCAAACTGGCTTGTGCTGCAGCTACTGGGGTGGGCACTAAAGGACTTAAAAGGAGAGCTGAATTCAACTGCAGCATTACGTTCAGTGGGAGGTCAATGTTCAATTAAACTTTCTAGTTGAGTCATTTGTGTATGTTTTTATTGCATGGACCACAAGATGGGTAGGTAGCTCTTCTTAAAAAACAGGTTTGGAGCCCCCAGCCCCCACCTCAGTGGCAGTGGCTCACGTCTTTAATCCCAGCACTCGGGAGGCAGAAGCAGGTGGATCTCTGTGAGTTCCAGGTCAGTCTGGTCTACAGATTGAGTTCCAGGACAGCCAGGGCTACACAGAGAATCTGTGTCTCAAAAAACTAAAAACCAAACCAAACCAAACCAAGACTAAATAAATAAATAAATTAATTAATTAACAAATTAATAAATAAATAAAAGGTTTTTGGGATTATGTCTTGGAGAACTGAAAAGTCAAACAGTTTCTGGGAACGTGGGCTGTTATACAGCACACAAGCCCATGCTCTTTGCGTGAGCCTTTCCTGAGCATCTAATCCTGCAAGGGAACACTATCAGCCCTTAGATTTGTCAGGGCCCAGATATTTTTGGTGTAAGATGTAAAACTCAGCATCCACACCCAGCCTGCATCCTCAATCCAGAGGTGCAGATGTGCAGAAAGTAGACAGAGGCTGTGAGGCCAAGGCGACCTCGAGAAAGTGGGCATCCTAAAGATCCACAAAAGCCCAGAACTGGCCTTGCTACAATCTGAAGTAGCAGAAAGTGCTTACCTAGAACTCACTGACAATGACTTTCTTGACATACTAATTTTTAGGCTTCTTAAAAAATAAAAATCTAAGGGTGGCTGCTGAACATAGTGCCCTCTAGTGGCTCGCACCCCTAAAGTCATCTGGAATACTAATCTCCAAGGGTTTTTTTAATTGTATTTTTCTAGTATCAGGAATTAAAACCAGGGCCCCATGGCTCATGTTTGGTAGGCAGGAATTCCAAGCTGCACCCCAAGTCAATTTCTATGCTATCAAAAGGCATCTTGTCATTCCCGGACCTCACACCTAAGATATTATAATGAAAGTGAGACCGTCCCCTGTGCCCCGCTGAGTCCTCGAGGTGTGCCACAGAGGAACCTTCTAGACTGCAGGAGGCACGTTCCACAGCTCTTTGTCTTTTCCTGCATTGTCAGACGCTCCCGTGGCATCATGTGTAGGCTTCACAAACACCCTTTAACTATACTCACGTCTTGGCTGCTTGCTCGGTACTCTAGAACAAATCTGCCAGAAACCCAGCCCTGGGTGAGCTTGCTCTGGACCAAACTAACAACGGCACCCATTCATTCATTCCCACATGCACTCTCCCCTCCCCCACTGCACCCATTCATTCCCACACTTACTCTCCCCTCCCCCACTGCACCCATTCATTCATTCACACACGCACTCTCCCCTCCCCCACTGCACCCATTCATTCCCACACTCACTCTCTCCTCCCTCTTCCACCTGATTTCCCTCCAATCCAGGACTTCTCACATGCCACACCCGCATACCCAAGTTCGTGTCCTTCAACTTAATCAGCATGCCCAGCAACCCACTGAATGTGAGCAACATCTCCTAGGTGTCTGCCTCAGGTGGAGCCCTTGGTATTTTTGGACAGTATCTTATTATTAGTCCTGGGTGGCCTTGAACTTGTGATCTCCTGCATGTACCTCCCTGGTGATGGAATTTATCATCCATTCTAAAATTTATTCTTGACTTATTTATTGTGTAGGCGTCATATATGCTATGGTATGTGTATGGAGGTTGAGGACAACCTGAGGGAGTCAGTTCTCTCCTTCGACCACGTGTGTCCTGGAAATCAAGCTCAGCTCTTCAGGCTTGGCAGCAAGTGTCTTTATCCCATGGGCCATCCTGCAAGCCCAAAAGTTATCAGCTTCATGATGGCTACTGACTTTAAGTTCCAACAGATGAAAATGAAGTATGTCAGATTATTTTACTTAACATACATGTTCATATATTTATGCACCTAAATGTATGTATATATGTATATGTAGCAGTGTTTGGGATCAAACCTAGGGCCTTGTCCATGTCAGTCAAGGACTCTACACACTGAGTTACACTTCTTATATCCATCCATCCTCCCTCGCTCCCTCCCTCCCTCCCTTCCTTGAGACAGGTTCCTACCATGTGGCCTTGGCTGGCCTCTAACTCACAGAAATCACTTATTTCTGTTCTGCCTCTGAGTGCTGGGGTTAAAGTGCTGGGATGTATTCTACCAAGCTGAGAATTTTATGTTTTTAACACATATGCTGTAGTTCTAATATTTTCCAGTGACTTTAAGGCCAGGTATGGTGACTCATGCCTTTAATCCCAGCAATCAGGAGGCAGAGGCAGGCAGAGGCTAGCTAGGGCTACATAGTGAGATCCTATCTCAAAAATCTGAAACAAAACCAAAACCAAACAAAAGCCAAAAAACCAAACAAAAAACCAAAAAGAAACAAACAAAAAACAAAACCCAATCAGTTAAAAAAAATATTCCCTAAGTATATTACTTAATTTTAAAAGCCAAACGTGGGCCAGGCATGGCAGCACAGGCCTTTAATCTCAGCACTCAGGAGACAGAGGCAGAGGAATCGCTGTGAGTTTAAGGCCAGGACTACAGAGAGAGACCCCATCTCAACCTGCCCCCACCCCCCAACAGTCAGACTTGGGCTCAGTGGATAAAGGTGATTGCCAGCAAGTCTGGCAAGCTGATTGGATCCCTAGGACCTGCATGGAAGAAGAAGAAAACTGACTGTTGCCCACTGTCCTCTGACCACCACACACACACACACACACACACACACACACACACAATAAATAAAAATATAAGACTCAGTATTGCCCACCAGCACTTAATGAAAGCCTCCATCCCTCTCTACAGTACTTACAACTCTTTTCTTTCAGAATTTGCTTCCATATTCCTAAATAACATAATTTGACTTCTATTCGCTGATTTAACCAAATTAGCCAATTGGCATTTTGAAACAAGGTACGTAGAGTACGTAGCCTAGGTTGGTCCTAGGTTGGCCTTGAACTCACTCCGTTAGCCCAGGCTTTTTAGCCCTGGTTTGTGGTGAGTTGGCTGCCTCAGCCTCCTGAACATGCCACCACTCCTGGCTGACAAGCTTTTAAAACATCTAATCATGTCCTTGTGTGGATGACAAAAGCTTGGAGCCCTCTCATCCTTCCACTGAAGTGCCATGCCCCCACGTGCCTCCCGTTTCCTGCCCCAGGCTCTTGGCATCTACTTGTTTAATAGTGTAAGGAGGCGCAGCTGCCCCTGCTCCAAGCCGGGTGTAAAATGAGGGCTGGAGAAGCGAAGAGGAACTGCCCAAGCTTCCCCTCTCAGCTTCCTTTTCCATCCATCATTTCCTCTGCTACCTTCAACTCTGGGTCAGATTCCTGTTCACCTCTGTACAGTAGACATGTTAATCATTTAAGGATGTTCCTCTTGCAGCCTCCCCTTTCAAGGCTGAAGGCACCAGATAAGAATAGCAAAGGTATTTGCAAGATGTGCAGGAGACATCGTAATCAACACATCACCGACTACCAGGTTTTACAACTTCCTGTTCCAGAGTGGAACCTAGAAGTCTCTAATCTTTGCTCTAAACCTGAAGTTGTCCTAACAAACTCCATCTTGTCATCTGCTTTCTTTCTCTGTGTCATTCTCTCCTGGGATTCCAGCACCATAAGTCCAACAGACAAACATCCTGTGAAGCAGATCAAAACTGCCCCTAGCAGTGGTGACTTCCTTGTCCAGATAAGACTGGATGGCCAGGCCTAGGACAATGATCAACCAGAACGACCCGACCATGACTGAACTACGCAACCCCCCTTGACTTCGACCTTGTACCCTCCATGGGGGGTGGGGTGGGGTGGGGGTGGGGGTCACCTGAAGACATCCAGTGTGGCCAGACTGAAAACAAGTTCCTTCCTGGCATTCACCATCCCTTGTCTCTATTCTCAACATTTGAGGCAAGTGGCCACCCATGGTTCTTTGGGACCCCCAGAACTAGATTTCCTTGGCTTATATTAGAGTTTGAGGGTAGCCTGGGCTATATGACAAGAACTTGTCCTATAACAACAATAACAAAATGAAGACAGAACAGTCCTGAAGGTCATTACTTATGTGATATTTTTTTTTTTGGGGGGGAGGGACAGGTTTCAAGACAGGGATTTTCTGTGTGTAGTCCTGGCTATCTTGGAACTCACTCTGTAGACCAGGCTGGCCTCAAAAACACAAAGATCACCTGCCTCTGCCTCCTGAGCGCTGGGATTAGCCTGCCTCTAAATGCCAATCTTACTGAGCCTACTACCTCTTATACTTTAATGTTTCCTTGATTATGGTGTGAATTTATTTTCCAGAGTACATAGTTAACACATATTTTTTTTAAAAATTAGATCAGCTTTACATTTTCTACTTCACCTCAAACTTCCAGGACAGTTACATATATTTGATACTCAGTCCCTCTTTTTCCCCCTTTTAATTTTATTTTTACTATTTTACTGTGTGGAGGTCAGAAGACGACTTCCAAGAGCCTGTTCCCGCCTTCCAGTGTGGCAGCCGGGATGGAACTCAGGCCATCAGGCTTGCATGGCAAGTGCCTCACCCACGGAACCGCCTCCCTCTCTCTTTTCCCTCTTTGGTTCAGAGGAGTTTCTCTTGATGTGCTCCTCCTCCTGTTCCAGCTGGCCAGACTGCTCTCTGTAATCTGCCAGAGACTGTAATGTGTCCAGGACTTTGGTCTCTTCTGTTTTATTCTGTTCATTTGTTGGAGTATACCTTAAGGTAATTCTCTCAGAAGACTGATTTCAGAAAAGCCAGTGTCATTTAAATGCCTTGCTAGCAAGTACTTTTCTCTTGAAAAAATGTAAAGCCTGGGAAGGTATTATTCTTTTATTATTTAATATTTGCACTGATTAATGGGTCTTTAAATTTCTTTAATTTTTTTTCTCCTCTCTCAACTCTGTGTTCCTGTTTACAACTTCTACTGGTTGGACATTAGATTTCTTGACTTAATCCCTTGGTCTCCTTGCTCTGTTGCTACA